AAGTGTTTCACGATACACTTTAATAATGGAAAAATCGATGAAGAAAACATTTTTTGTGCGATTACGCTTGAAGAGTAACGCTTGTTTGCATTCTTTCCTTATGCATTTTCTATAATCTCTATAAAAATGTAAAACTTACAATACTTATTGAAATGATACGATCAGCCATCTCGAAAATCTAACAATCCGGTTTTCTGTATGGAATACTCGAATTTATATTATGTATAAAAATTATATACATTATTATCTAATCATATCACTTGTCATTTGTATAATGTATACAGTTAAATTTAAAATATGTTTCAGTTCTTATTTTTGCTTTATATTAGAATATAGAATATAAACGATTTTTGCATACAATTAAATGATTGCATGAAAAAGCATGCAAACAAACATCTCCTTCATTTTTATATAGTACGGTATTCAATATTTTAAATCAAGAATAATTTTTACTTTCGTAGAAAGTAATGATAAAAAGGAACCCGGCAATAAGGAACAATGCCGACATTATTGACAAGTTTACTACATGATTCTGTTTTGTCTTGACATTTTTGTTATATAATAAAAGTATTCTCCATATATAAAACTACAAAATATATAGAAGTTATACATATAGATGATACAATAAAAAATGTATCTCTATATAAAGATTACTCTTTGCAAAAAATATATTGTAAAGTTTTAGTTGTGCTTAATATTAAAACATAAAAATATTTTAAATAATTTTATTAATTATCACTTTTTATCAATTAAATAAAAATCGCATCAAATCCTTCAAATATAATTTTCTTCATGGAATGTTTAAAAAATGATTATAACTTTGTATACGTTATAAGCGTGTATTATAAAATAAAATCGAGTACTACCATCCTACTTTTCAACGCTAAAAAAATATGTAAAATTCAAATTTAATTTCATTAAAATTTTTAATGTTTACTTATGATATACTTTAAAACAAAAAAAAAAAAAANAAAAAAAAAAAACGAAAACATATTCAAAAAGATATTTAAAGATAAAGCTTTAGAAAAAGAAATTTGATTTGTACTTTTTATTTCTCGATATTATTACGGAGTTTGAGCAGATTGCATTCCCTTATTACACGTTTCCTCTTCTATTTATTTAATGTGTGAGTATGTGTGTTTGCGATGTTAAATCTGCTACTTTATACTCGGTAAAGAATTTCAAGTTATATTTAATATTATTTAATAGCAACACTTTCCCTTAATCTAAGCAAGCTAAAAATAATTGAAAAATTATATCATTAAGAGTGTATAAAAAGTAAACTTTTGATTTCAGACAACAGAACCTATTTATAATAGGTCAGTACGTTTTACAAAGTAATATTGTAAGTATCGTACGAAGAAGAATTTTGTTAATTTTGATTTTGTATATATAAAAATTAATGAAAACATATAACAAAATTAAAAAGGCCAACATTTTTATCCTCTGAATAAGTACAGAAATGGTACAGTGTTTTTTATCTGAAAGAGATAGCATATCATGCAGTTTGATTTTGATAAACAACTAAAAGTTATTATAGAATTCAATTTTATTCTATTTTACACTGTTTACCATTTCAATACTTAAACGTAGTTCATAAGTGATAAAAGGTGTGTAATACAAAATATGTATATAATATAAAAAAGAAAAAAAAAGGAAAGATAAATATTTATATAAAATATATGATAAATGTTTCTACAAAATTGAATAATAATTTCAATACATTAATATACAATGTATAATTATAAAAAAAGAATTAATATTTAAATCCTAAAGAATTGATATACATATTATCATCTTGTTTTATTATAATTATATATTAGTAACTTTTTTGAAAGTAAAGTTGCATCACCTTTTGCCACTATAGAACTACACCATATTAGACCACTTCTCTTCCTGCTTCCAATAAATTAAAAGAGGAAGAGGGTGGTCTGCCTTGCTTGCTACTTAGTTGCCTCTGGAGGACAATCAGGCTGATTATTTGGATGAGCAGCAGTAAAAGCTGGATGATTCTCTAAATGGCGGTCTACCCTTAATATTGTTGGAAAAGGTCGTAAATCGACAAGAAACCTTCTTGCATTAAATATCTGCGGTATTAAACAACAATCTGCTAATGTGATTTCGTCACCTACACAGTACTTTCCTGCACTTGATGACAATAATTTTTCTACAGCTGAAAAATAACAATATTAGTTATATTTATATTAATATATTATTGAAATTATTTTTGTTTCCATAATTTATATACCTGTTAAACCTCTAGTAATCCAATGTTGTGCCCATTCTTTCTTACGTTCTTCTCCAACATAAATCAATACAACTAAATTTTGTAATGGTTGAATACCACTAGCAATAACTTCACAAATTTCTCTGACACGTGCTCTTTTCACTGGATCTGCAGGCATTAAAGGTCGATGTGGTCTAGTTTCTTCCAAGTATTGTAAGATATTTAACTGTAATAAAAAAATTTTCATTCTTAATATAATCCTTAATATTAACTAAATAACATAAAGAAATGTACATAAATATTTATATACTTACAGATTCTATTAATGTGTGATTGTCAATATGAAGTGCAGGTACCTGCTCCATTGGATTAATCTCACGAAATTCATTAGAATGTTGTTCTCCACCACCTTTTATCAAGCTAACTGGTTTTATATCATATGGAATTTCTTTTAAATTCAATGCTGTTAAAAAAATACATATAATTTTATATAAACATCAGATATATGTGTTAAAAATAAAGAAACTAAAAAAATTTTATTTTATTCTAATAAGAAACTTTTTATTTTATTTTTAAAAATAAAATATTATGAAATTTTGATAAATTCAGATTCTTTTATTTATTATTGTCAAAATTAAGCGAATATTTTTTACTTACCAATTCGTACTCTCCACGAACAAGAACTCCGCCAATAGGAGTAGAGTATTGGCTAAAAATTCAGAAAAAGAAACGAGATAAATACTGCAACACATTTTGCGATGTTTACTGGCTTCAAATGGCACGTTGACGGAAAGTATACATGCATTAGTTTATCTAAGACCGATGAAATATAATCAGATTTAAGGAAAGGATAAAATAATAAGGATAAGAAACTATAAATAAAATTAACTAATGATTAATAAAAAAATGTATTTAAAAAAAAAGAATTTTTTAATCGAACATTTAAAGAAATGATCTTGCAAATAAAGGGTTGATAATATGAGTAAGATTCTGTAATAATGTCGGATTCAATACATTAAAATATTAATTTGCTTACCTTTCCCATAACGGACATCTCGTCAGGCTTTGATGGACGGATTCGCCTGCTTAATGATCTTTGTCCGATTACTCGAGACGACGCTGTGGCTCGCGAATCTCTTCGAAATTATTCGGTATCCGTTCAACGCGCGAAATCACTCCTCCCTCCTCTTTTATTCGATTGCCAGACATCCCATTCCACTGTCTCATTCCAGTCTGGGGTTCACACAACCAATCACAATCCACTTTCCGATAGGAAACAGTGCTGTATAACAGGAAAAACCTTGAAGATTGATGTATGCATAAAATTTTACAACTTTATATATTTCATGATTTTATATAAATTACTTTATCTTGGTCTGTATAAGAATTTAATTTATAATTTTTCAATTCAATTTAGCACGATGAAATATTTACATTCATAGTTTTCTTTATATAAGTGAAAATAAATAATCTAATCGTATCTAATTATTTAAAACTACAATCTTGTTTTCATCGTAGAATAACTTATCATATATATATTAATAAGAATATAAAATGTGAGATCTACACATATGCACATTAATGTCAAATTATAATTCCGGTTATGAAGGTTAATGTGAAAATACATGAGTTAATTTTTAATTATATTGTACACTTATTTTAAAGTATATATAATTATATATATATGTAATTTTTTTATATAAGAAATAATAAATCTTTGTTAATATTATATTATGATATAATTGCAAAAACTTAAAATAATAATAAAGACGTATAAAAATATTTTATAATGTTAAAGTTAAATTTTAAAAAAATAAATATTAAATATTAAATATTTTTTTATTAAAATTTAAATAGAATTTTTAAAAAATTAAAATATGTATATAAAATATTGATTTGCAGTCCTAATTAATAAGTATATTCTATTTTATTTTTGTATTTTATATTTTTGTATTTATATTTTTTATTTTGTTATTTTGTATTTTTACTTTGCTCATTTACAAAATACTCTTTCAGCAATAAAACATTTCTAATCATTTTACTTTTAATTTTAATGATGGAATTTAATATAATAATTTAATTAATAGTAAGTTTTATGTTCACTTTTTAATATTATACAATGTATTCGTAATATAATAACGTGTATTTTTTTAAAGTGCTATTATTAAGATTACATTAAAAAATATAAAAATATATAAAAAAATATACATATTTCATATAAAATTATAAAAATAATATAGAAAAACAAAAATATATATGCAATACATATAAAGATACAGAAATACATATTTTGTATATATAAAATATATGTATTACACATATTAAAAATATATAAATTATTATCTCTTTTTTATCTTTATTCAAAAGTTTTTATATTTCGGTTTATAGTATTTATTATTATAATTTGTATAGTAGATAAATGTAAAAAAGGAATAATAAAAGAAAAACAGAAATAGGTTAAAAATTATAAAATCAGCGCCATCTCTAGAATGTCGCAAATGAATTAAACATGATAAGAAGAGTAAATAATAAAAGAAGGATAATGTAGGAATTAATTATTAGTACCATCTCTTGAGTATCAAAGACATTTTAAGTTTGAACTTCTCCAAGAGATGGCAGTACTTGTTTATTATTTTTGAAAAAATATTTTTAATATTTAAATCTTAAAAGATTGCTTATTTTCGATTCTTATCTTTGTCTAATCAAAAAAATATTTGACATTCAAGGAATGCTGATGGTTAATTTTTATTACATTTTTAATCTCCGACTAATTTACTTTTCTTATCTTACACTAATTTCATTTGCGATACAGCAAAGATGGCGTTGATTTTTATTTTACTTTTGTCCTCTTACTATTACTTTTTTTCCGTCTGTATTTATTCAATAATTGTAACAATAGAAATACTTGTTGCCACTTATAAGTTAAAAAATGAAAAAGATATAAGATTTTTTCTTTGTAATAAAAAAAAATAACGATTTGTATATTTATATACATATATATATATATAAATTTCTGTATTTATTTATGTCACATATATAACAAATATATTAACACTAGGTAAGAAATATAAATTTATTTAATTTTATTTTTAAAAAGTATTAAATTTTTGTGAACATTATATATTGTCTATATATCATATATCTTATATATGCATGCTTACATAATTTTAAGTGATGTGATAGAGAAAAACTATAGTATATGATTAGAATAATATTTTGTCAAAAACAAATTTTTATTTTTAAAAATTAAGATCATTTTCGAATATAGCTCTATTAAAATATATAATTATGATTATTATAATAGTTAAAATATGCTGAAATTATTATTACGACGATATCTACCAAAAAAAGAAAATTATCCAAAAATTCACCATTATTTGGCTGGGATATATGCATTTACTGCATGGACTACTACTATATACGTGTTTTGTATATTATTAAAAGAATCTTTACCTACAACTCCAAAACAAAGTATAATATTTTTAAATAAAATAACTTAAATAATATTATTAAACAGTTTTATAAAATAATTTAAAGTTTAAATTTTTGTAGGGCAAACATTTATAGAAAATTTAGAAAAAGAAAATAAGAAAATACAACATATAAAAATTAATGGATTTAGGATAAATTCTGATGAATAATGAAAAAATATATCAATATGAAAATTCAAAGTGAATTTAGTTTTAATTTATAATAAAATAAATTTTTATCACAAAAATGTTTTTATTAAATTCAGTTTACTAACAGAGATCTATAAATATAGTTTAATAATTTCTTTTTATTTATAGAAATTATTTATAATATATAAACAGTTATTTAAGGTAGAGATTGTCGTAAGGCAATTGCTCCAGAAGTTTCTGGATTTAATTCCTTTAATCTTTGTTCCATTTCACATAATAAAGCTGACCTAAAAAATTATATAATTAAAAACTTTATAATATATTATGTATCAAAATAAAAAAAATAGAACTTAACAAACCTATATTCTTCATAACGCATGACAACTTCTTCTAATTCTTGTTTATATAATCTAGTAAGCATAGCATTAAAACAGTCAAGTTCTGGTAAACGAAAAAGTTCCCACCGTAATTTACGATCTAATGCTACTGATGCTCTACTGTATACATATAACCAATGAGGTATTTCTTCATTAAGGTATGGATTAGCTGGAACTAAAACACTGTGGGAGTGAAAATGTGTGTGACGTGGTGGTGATACAACGCGTACTGCTTGTATTTCATGAGGATAACATGGATGCTCATATTGTGCTTGCCGTGTAATATGACTATAAATAATATAATTTTTTTATAGAAATTATAATATATACTTCCAATTTTAAATTGCCATAAAACCTACTTAACATAATAAACACCATATTCTGGTGATTCTATTCTTTCCCAGCCTGTAGGTAAGCCTTCTTTTTCAAGAGGATGAGACCAATGAGTAGTTTTTGTATTGTGATCTATATAATATTTTCTACCTCTAAGAGTGAAGTCCACAGACCATCCAGGAGGTAAAGGAAGTTCTTCTTGCTGTTCATTCCTAGAACTTGATCTTTCTGAATGGCAACGACTATATCTTAAAAATAACATACATAAATAAAATATGCATACTTTTGATAATTCTATAAATCTTAAGTATAATACTTTTCTACCCTGTATTTTGACGATATGCAGAATGATTATATTCATCATAACCTGAATCAATGTCAAAAGATTTATAAGGTATTTGTGGTGTTTGAACCCGATCTAAATGATATTCAGATCCAGCATATTGATTAACATATGTATGAGATATAGCAGGTGAAAGTCCAGAATGATACATTGGAGTTGCAGTGCGAGATGAAATTCCATCTCTTGTACTAGTATTGACAGAAAGACTGGCAAATCTAAATGAATATATTGTAAATTTTATTTTAACTTTAAATTTATTAATATATTTTAAAAGATAAATTACCTTTGTGCTAAATCTGGTACAGAACTATTGGGAGTATATTTTCCTTCATGACTTCCTAAACCTACTGCACTCATTGTTGTCTTAGTATTTCCAAACTTTTGTACCATACTGGGTTGTTGTGGAATAGACTACATAAAAATTATTTGTCATTTATGTACAAATATTATGCACACAATTGTTATTTACCATAGATGTAGGGATAGTTGAATGATTATTACGATTTCTTGTTCTTCTATTTGGTTCAGTTGTCCATACATTAATAACTAAAAGTAAATAATAATTATAAAAATATAAGTATTTTATCATTTGATATAGTATAATAATAATAAAACAAGTAAAACAATAATAAAAAATAATAAATAAAAAAAATATAAAAAGAATATAATTATCAATATAAAAATATTTTTTTATAATTAAATTCTAAATATGACAATAGTATGTAATAACATCTTACTTGGCATTTCAGGTGGAGTTTCTTTCTTGACATATTTACCAACAACTCCTTCTTTAATTGTTCTTAAATCCTTATTTTTTCGAGACAACATAATGGAATAAATATTTGATCGAACGACAAACCAATAAATCTTCGATATTTATAACCTACAGTCACGATATTATATTCGTAAAATTAATGAAAGTGTATTCCAAACGTATAATGATGTGGTCAAAAATAACAAATTATTCATTTTATATATTTGTATAAATTTGTTTTAATAAAGACTCAAGATTATTAAAAATTGCTTAATTAAATTAACTATATTACTTGTCACATGCATATGTCTTTTCATAATATGAACGTTCGAAAAAAAAACTGTTTCAATTGACGACGCTTTAGATATATCAACAATTTAATAAACTTCATTTAAATTTTTTTTGTTCAATCAAACAATTTTTTGTCAATTATTTGAAATTTAAAAATTAAAAAAAATTAATTTCATGTACATACATTCAATATTTATAATAAACTATTTCATTTATGTGTCAATTTGACATTATGATATATAATTTTGTCAATATCACGAACTGTCAATTTGACATTATAATATATAAATTTTTTCGAAGAGAGTAAAAGTGAGTTAACTTTCATAAATTCATATATTAGTAATACCAAAACTGATTTTTAATTCATTTAGTATATAGTTCAAAAAAAATTTTTTTTCATTATTTTCATATAGATATATATATAATGTATTATAGATGAAAATTGTATCTTATATTTCTCTTTCTTTATTTTATATTTGTTATATTTTATATTTTAAGGTTATTTCCATAACCTATCTCAATACGTCAATAGTTGATATATTGTGCATTAAAATAGCTTAATTCATATATTCATTTGTTTACAAGATTAATATTATACATTTTCACTATATAATGTATGTAGATATATATATATAATAAATATATTCTTTTAATTTTATTGTATCATTATTGTTTATATGGATGTTGCTTTTTTAAATGAAAATCTTACTATATAATAAAATAAGAATTTCTAATTTTGATATTAACTGAAAATATTTTTCATTTTTTATAATAAAGTACATATTATGAACGATTTGCAAATATTAAAAGATAAATATTTAAATATATTTTTGATAAACAAATATGTTTCATTATTATTTTAAAATAAATGAATGTGTTTTTGTTTAGCATTTTATATTTTTTTTTAAAGTCTTGTGATAATTTTGTTTCAAGCTAGAAAAAAAACATTGAGATACAGAATAGAATATTCTAGTTGTATATCTCCAACAGCTATTTTAGAGTATAAATAATTATTTAATCTTATTGAATTACTGCTCTTAAATTTATTATATGAATAGCTAACCATTCTTATGTGTAATATGACAAGGATAAATTAATCAACTTTCATTTATGTTACTCTTTTTACATTCTAAAATCAACTGTACAACTGTTATGTTTCTAACAGTGATTAATATGAGTATCTGAAGTATATATCTATTAAGTCTATTTACAATGAAATTATATCCGCTATAATTCGGACTAATCATATATATTGAGGTTGTTCACTTGTAATTTGCACGAGAAAAAAGAAAACTAATATAATCGCTAATGATTGCATTGTAACGATAAATATGTACGATAGACTATCACAGTGTAGCTCGCGTTTGTAATCGTAGAATCTCCTATTGTTCTAATCTTTTGATTATATTTGTTTTTCTTTTTGCCGCAAAATATGGAAGTACTTATTTGCAATTGTTTTGTATCCAATTCTGATAATCGTGCTGTCATACAAATGCAGTATTTACGATATAAAAAAATACTAATAGATACTATCATTAGAATTTCTTATTGTAGTATATTTGCAAGTGTATTAAAAACTAAGTTAGCCCAAATATAATAATTATCAAAATGCTTTATTATTGTTGAAAGAATAAATGAATACTTGCAAATCTATATTTAAAAAAAAAAAAAAAAAAAAAAAAAAAAAAAAAAAAAATAATAAG